ACGCAAACATACCATCGTTACAATGGAATTCACCATCCCTTTATTGCACTATATTTTTGGTTCTCACCTTCTGATGAAGATTTGAGAATAATCATTTACCAGAATATTTTCTGGTTGTAAGTTTGCAAATTTTAAAATTTATCCCAAATATGTGGTGTGGTTTGACTATGTATTTGAGGGTTTGGTAATCATAAGTACGATGTTTGTATAACCACACATTTGACAAACTTGAGAGTTGTCTTTGTGATCGTTTGAAAACGATTTATTCCCTATTAGAGGTAATTCTGTCTTCAGTTGCCTCCACTTTACTTTGAATTCCTCATGGTTCTATTTTGTGAGCACTAAGTTGCACAAAATACTAAATACTAACAAGAACTACAAATAATGTAATAGAACCCGTTGGGTGAATCTGATGATTTTAAGAAATTACATGTTTCTCCATCATGGAAAATGGTAATACCATCATATGAGGATGTAAAGGGTATTAAGGTCTTTTCAACCGGATTTACATACGAAAATATTTGATCATAGGATCTCAACATAAAGTTGATTAAATGACAGAATTGTGAGCTGCCATAGACTTGAGGTCTAAAAAAATAAATGGATGATCATTCGCGATGTTCTCATGGCAGCATGTTTCTCTTAAGTAAAATATTCGAGATGAATAAATATTCATCCATTGTGTACTTAGTTTGAGAACTAAGTGAACTTGGTGACTTATAAATTCCATATGTGCATATTTAGCTATCAATAGAATAGCCATGTGTTACATGAAATGATCATGCACTATTTAATTTACTTCTTGGAGTAAAAGATCTATATGGATGAAATGATCTTGTTGAGAACAGTCCGCCAAGGTGATGCTTGGTGAATCTGGGTGTAGCCTTCAATGCAACGCATGTGATAAAATCGTTGCTAATGTTTTATACTTCATTCTTGACAAAATGTATGACTTTAAAGTCAATGTCAAAAACATATACTTTGCATGTTTAACATTGGTAGTCACTATTAAAGTATAGCCACAATGTGATGTGGACCTTACAATAGCGCTTGAGAAACTCGAGAGTTGCTCTAAATTATGGTCACCATCTTGATAGATGGACAGCACTATAATTAGAAATAATGACATAAGCTTCACTGCCATGCATTTAACCAATGTAATTGAAGACCATCATCGGGGTATGCACATATCTGCATAATTTTCTACGACTTATTCAATCAAAATGAGGCTTAAATAATGATAGTAGTAGGAAAAAAATCAACATGTAATGACCATGCATTAGTATTTGTTACAATGAGAGTAACCATTTTTAGTGAACAACAACAATTGCTTCAGAGGAGCAAATTTTTAAGATAGCTGATGCTATATAGTCATATGTGTAGACCTCAATATATATAGAATAACACTATGAAGATAATCACCAGATGCGGTGTAGATCTCGCAGTAATAGAAAACATAGTCTGACTTTTGTCAGTAGATGTTCATATCTCTATTACCTTATGTTATGCTATATTTAAGAAAATCACTTTGAAGGTAATCATCTGTCAGAGTGACATGATGTAGACCTTGCAGTAATAGTGGATAATCTGCAAAATTTTGCAGTGGATGCCAATATTACCATATGATATCTTGAGGTAGTCACATCTATTATTAATATTTGGAAGAGCACTTTGAAGGTAATCATCTTGTAAAATTGACAAGATGTAGACCTCACAATAGTGGTGGATAATCTGCAAATGGCGCAGTAGATGCCACTAGTACCTTGTGATTCACAAATAAAATTTGAGGTAGTCATATTAAGTATGACACTTCGTAATCCTTAATTTGGATTTTGTCAAGATTTGCAAGAAAAAATAATTCCAATTGCAAAGGCAGAAAAATGTTGTTCTAAAACTGATATTGACAATGAATGCTGAGGCAAACATATATAAAAAAATACTACAAATTTTAAAGAAATCATATCTAAAATGTAAGAATTTTTTTCATTTTTTGCAACTATATTTCTGTGGAAATACTTTTGCAATATGTGAAGACCTGCATGCTTCATACTTAAATTATGGGCGTAGAATGGAGTATCAACCAGACTACTTAGAGGGTTAAAGACTGAACTTAGCCTGACTAAAGAAGCCCAGGGACTTATATGTAAATAAATACGTCCACTGGGATTCAACTGCAAGATGGCCGAGAGGATAAGAATCCCCAATTTCTCTTGTGCGGTCAGGGATTAACCGCTGCCGCCGGAGAAGTATGCCTCAGGTGAGGGAGAGTCGCCGGGGAGCGTCGCCGTGGTTGGATGGACGCCGCCCTTTCGCCTTGTGACGGAGGAAGCCCCGGATGAGGGCGCGTTGCGCCATGCGCGTGCGCCTGAGGGCGCTGCCGTCGCGTTGCCGCAGTGCCTCTTCCAGCCCCAGCCAGTCATCCGCGTCGCCGTGTACGCTCTTTTTGCTCTTTGCATCACTAAATCGAAGAGATTTTCCTTGTATGTTTTCTCTTGTTCTTCGTTCTTTTTGTTGTTCTTGCTGACCGGATGGTTCTTTCTTGATTGAAGCTTTTCTTCCTTGGTCAATGATCTCTTCCGGTTGATGCTTCAGCCATCTATTCATGTCACCATGTCCACATACTATGTGCAGAAAAGCAGTTAATGTTCAGATCAAGGGAAGAACTAAAATTAAACGGAATTAGTGTTTCCTGATTGATTTCCCGATGCTCGTTCAGGCAGTCGCTGTGCTGACGCCGTTTAAGGCGTTCGTGCTTGACTCGTTGGCTGCCGCCGCCGCCGACTGGAAGGGTCCCGCTGATGGTGTCTGCGCCACCGGGAGGAGCGAGGCCGCATCACCCCGCGCCGGAGGACGCCCCATGCACCAGAGGGCGCCTCGTGTGGTGCTTATGTGCGGGTGACCGCGCCGCCGGACGAGGGCTGCGGTGTCGCGCGCCCGCTGGTGGCCACCGCGCTGCAGGGCTAGAACAGAGGCGTCTCCTATGCTTTTGTGGCCTTCTCGCTCTCGGTAGAGCCGAGTGCTGATAACGTGTAAAAGTAAAACGAGAGAGAGGGGAACAAATGATTGAACAGTGATTGTATTGACTGAAGAATAGGGTATTTATACCCATGTATAGAGGCGGTAATTACATAGTCGGTAACTGGCGGTTGCTAAACTAAACAACCGACCTAAGCATTGATTATTAGGATTTAATTAATCCTTAACACAACTATTTAAGTATTATAGATATGGCATGAGCAACCACGGTAGCTTTTAGAAAGCCTGATGTGCAACCACGGTTGCAACGAACACTAATAGTTTGAAAAATTATTCCCTAAAAAACTTTAATAGTTTGACGTGGATCAATAGTAATCTGAATATGGCATGAGCCAAGAATTAATTACATCAGTGACACATCTAGACCTGCCTGGAACATATATGCTTTGATCTTTAACTCTTTTAAATAGGAAACACGAGTGCTTGCTTTCAAAGTCATTGTTTGGAGATGACGGTTCTGTTAGTTTGAGCTACTACCACTTGAAATGGAACCAAGGTGAAACACAGGACTTCTCCTGTGCAACATGTTCCAATGAGCAACGCTTTAAACCCGATAGCCAAGCAGGCCTAGGTTATTAGTGCGCTTTGGTTATTAGTGAACATGTGTGGCAACAAAATTTCTCGATAAGTCCACCACTCTTCAACATAGGTATAGTGACTGTCATATGACTCTTTTGTTTCTGATATTTCAATTTTTCTGTATCTGTTTATCGGACCATTGGTGCTGACTGTGTGCATCTTAGCTATCCAGAGGTCGAGTGTTGTGCATTATGCATTGTATCTGCTTGATGCTACATTTTCAGTTAAGAAAATTGCCATTTATCAAAAAAAATGGTGACCCTGCCCTGGCGCCCCACAAGGGCACCCACATGTATGCATGGCATTAGCGCTAGCTATCTCCATGCCGCCCACCGGGGACTCCTTCATGGCCATGATGGCGGATCCAGCAGCACCATCCGCATCTCCTTCGGCAGTTCATCGATGAAAGGACAGGGCCACAACCCCAGCAACACACATTTCTTCCACACGGGCGCCCACGAGTGCACCAAGGCCGATGACTCGACGCTGCCCTTCCTATCCCGTGCCTTGCATGTCCCTGAGCTGGATGATGACGTCCTGTCCGGCATTGAGGTCCGGTCTCACCACCGTTTCTGCGCGTAGGCATATCTAGTGTCAGGATGGACAAAGCAACTCCTATCTTATGGAATGGGTGGCAAGACATTGGCCCGGTGACGGGGTGGTACCCGTCGCACGACAGTCTCATGTATGTCGAGGAAGGTTCTGCATCTACAGAAGCTTCGACATAGTGGCCGAGGTTGGATCGGAATAGGACATCATCGGCTCGGTAGTCTTACTCACCGGCTTCGAGGTGGTGCGAGTACGATCCAGGCTCCGGATGGTCAAGCACAAGTCCGGACGCCTCGACTCCTGCACCAACTCTATTCTTTAGTCTATCGATTAATTTTTTTATTAGAAAGTCTTTGCTACTCAAGCTTACAAATTACAAGAATTGATTTGTATCACCCACTCAGAGTAGCGCAGATGGCCGGGGAATCAGCAGAGTTTTGTTTGTTTCAGTTGAAGACATGGACACGAGATGCAATGTCCAGATGCTGAACTGGCCAGTCGAAACCCTTGCCGGTGTAGATGCTATAGCACACTATCTCAAGATTAAAAACCTGAATCCAGAACTCACTCAGTTACCATCAAAAGTTGAAGACACGCACGCCTAAACATGTCATGTCACACGATTATCATGGAACTACTGTTGGAAAATTAAGCAAGTTCATGATAAATTCCAGTAAATAATTCATGACTAAGTCCAGTTCACACCGAGAGTATACAACTAGCTTTTCTCATGAAACACACTCACAAGTATTACAACCACCTATGCAAAGTGTAGTTCACACCGAGAGTATACAAGTAGCTATGATAAAATTCACACATACTAAGTTATACACCATCTAACGACCCTGTAGTGTTGTGATGCTCATCACGTTTGTGGTATTTTCTATATTCTCGCTTGCTTCTCCACCTTCATAATAACTTAGAGGAAAATATACCGGTTGCGTTGGACTTGGAAGTGATGTGTTTTCATTCTCTAACATACGCATAACAGATGAAATCACTGGTCTATTGTTGGGATGATCTTGAACACACAAGAGCCCCACATGAATACACCGTAGAACTTCATGAAAAGGACAATCCGCAACTATCGAAGAGTCCAATAGTTCAGTTGCTTCTCCATCTTCCCATATTCTCCATGCCTGTCCAATAAAACAAATCCATGATAAATTTAATAATTAATTATTGCGAGTCTAGGGCCTTGGGTGGGTAGGGCAATAGGAGGTAGTTGATAATTACATGTGTTATGCAATGCTTACATAAGTGATAAGGCTACAGAAGTTTGTTCTGAGCTGAGGTGAGCTGATCTTCAATCCACTAACAATCTCCAACAAAAGAACACCAAAGCTATATGTGTCTGTTTTAACAGAAAAGGTACCTCCCATCGCATATTCGGGTGACATGTAACCACTGTTTAAAACATTCATCAAATTAGCAAGGAATGTTCAAAAATGTACCAAACCATAAAAAGTACAGTGTTAAGGGTTCTCTAGGTCACCAATTACTTACTAAGTTCCAACGACCCTAGTAGTGTTCGCATGGTTCTGGTTTGCACCCAAGATTCTTGCCATACCAAAATCTGAAATTTTGGGAGTCATTTCCGCATCCAGCAATATGTTGCTAGCTTTGAGATCTCTGTGAATTATTGTTAATCTTGAATCTTGATGGAGATAAAGAAGGCCTCTAGCTATTCCTTTAATTATTTTGAACCGGGTTGACCAATCGAGCATGTGTTTTCGTGAATTATCTTGCATGATCAAATATGAAACAAAGCTTGTCATCATGAATATCACTCTGGTCAATGCATAAAATTAGCGCTATACGATCAACAAATTAGAACGTACCAAAAATAAAGGCATCTAAACTTTTGTTAGGTAAGTATTCATAGATCAATAATTTCTCATCTTCGTGAATGCAACACCCAAGAAGTCTGACTAGGTTCTTGTGCTGTAGCTTGGCAATTAGGACTATTTCATTTTTGAACTCAACTATACCTTGTCCCGAACCCTTACTAAGTCTTTTGACAGCAACCTCATATCCACCCTCTAGGATTCCCTACATGAGAAAATATTGGTTAGTTATGTAAAACTTGGAACAAACTTTTTTGACTCCTATAGTTACCCCTAAACACGAAGAAGTGTGCTTTAACCAATTTTAACTTTGAGCCCAGAAGATATTTAACTCTAAAAGTGTTTCCTGTCTATCCAAAAATATGAAAACTAGCACAAATCATTAACTCATCTTAAATATCGCCGATTTGCAAAATATCGCATCAATATGGACATGTTCCACTCATTCGACATCCACTTGGAGATGTATTAACTACTTGGTCAACAAGGTTTACGGTTGGATAAAAAAATTGAGAGCCAAGTGTCTATTCTGGAATTAGACAGTAGTTGAAGAGTAAATAAGATTTGCTTGTTTTTGTATCCAGAGCATGTTCTATTTTAAGTACCACTTTCTATTACCCTGTAAACTTTTCCAAAACCTCCTTGTCCAAGCAAGTTGGAATCGGCGAAAAACAATGTTGCTGAAAGGATGTCTTCATAGCTAACAAATGGAAATTCTGTGTTTTCGCCTTTGAGTTCATCGGATGTGCTAAAGTGTCTTTGCATTAGTTTCTTCTGGTTTTCCTTCTCTCGCCATTTTCCTGCAGGTTAAGACATTCATTTTTCCCTCAACTCTTGCACTGATGTCATATGTGGAAAAAGAGAGGACATTTGTTACTCTACCTCTGTATTTGTATGTCCAGATGAGGGCTATGCATGTTAGTAGCAACATGAATGCTATTATCGGGAGTAAAATCTTTAGTAAACTGCTCTTCTTGTCGACTGCAAAAATACAAAAATTAGAAGTTTAGCATCCACTTGCATATGAATACCATGTCAGATATGTCAAGCTAACTAAGTACCTATACTATGGTAATTGTTGAGTACCTGAACTACCATGGTAAACGAAAACATCATAATCTAGAAAAGGTATTTGATCTTGCAATATGCTCACACTCCAAATTAAATAGTGAACTGGCTACTGTCAATGCAAGAAAAAAATATATCTACATATTGTCTTATGGCAAATGCTAAGACATGAACTCTGAAAATAATTTCCAATGTGCTTGAAAGTGAAGAGTAGGAGCTGTATAGCTTACCTTAGTAATCAGAAAACATATCTTATGTATTTATAGGATGATGTTAAATGGAATGGTATGTTCTAGTCGACCAAAAGGATCTTCCAAGTTACCCCCTTTCTGTTCTCGAAAACATACTGTTTTGGATATGGGAAACTTTTACTACTAATATTGTTCGAAATAGTTATAGTGGATACTTTAAAAATGATATGTGTCTAAATTGTTGTAGAGTCTGTTACATATATTGCTGTAAAAGCAATGGTCCAAACTATACTTTGGAGACCGTGTCAATTTTCAAACCATTATGTCCAGGTGATGTCCAAATTCATCGGATGCACTAGAATTGATGCTCATAAATAGTTATATAAGCAATACAACTTCATTTTCTAATGTCTATGTATTTGCGTGACATAAATCATGTCCAAATGTCCCGGATGCAAATATTGGTATTAATCCTTTGAACACATGCTATTTACATGTGAAACCCTATTAAGAACAAGATAGAGCATAAAAGTATTAATCTCAATACCAGGGGAATCAACAAATTGGAGGTATAGATTCTCGCTGCAGAAATTGTTTCCCCAACATCGGTAAGCTCCCCTGAGCAAACAAAGCACCTTCACGGTCGGCCATACTAAAGAACTACTCAAGTCAGCATAAGCGTAAGCTGTGCATGAGTAGCTGCGGCTGCACTAATCAGCACACTCATCAAGGTTTTGTTCAGTATGTGCAAGAACTTGTTAGGAACCTTCATCCCAGCTAACAGAAAATATAATATTGTCAACAGTCCCCAACACATCAAATCACTATTTTGCTCGGACCATTCGAGTGAAGCCGCAATATCTAAAAGGTCCACATGAGGGATAGACATCACATGCAGCTGCGGGGCATTCTCCAAAAAGTGCCCATGATGGCGAGTGGTTATTTCCTGTTAGAGCCTTTAACTCGCCATTGTTTTCAACGGTGATGCGCATGAGCGATGAGTGTCCAATACGATTGTGTAGATAAAGTAGAACTCATCTCTGAAGTTATCAACTGTTTGATAAAAGATGGCATTTGTTTTGGTTACATATGTGCCACCAGGCACGGACATACCATTCCACATGTTGAGCTCGCAATATGGCCTTGTCTTGGTCCAAGTGATGAATAGAAGGTTGGAGGGCTAGGGTCGCCACTGCAAGAGAAGTACCAGAAGATGGATCATGTGGGCCCTTCCAGGCAACAAGGCACTCGACAAAATGGGCCTTCTAGCTCACCAAAACATCGTGCTTGGAAGAATGGTGTCAATTGGATGCTCAAAGCTTTGCAATATGTTTGTGTCATCCGACAACTGGAGTACAAAGTTCCTTGTGTCGAGTAGCATTACAACAACCTAGGTTCCTCTAGCAGTGATCATGTTCTTCATTGCCCAATATATGGGGCTTTTGGATTTTGAACAACACTAGATTAGAGGAGTTTGTGATGGTGAGACTCATGGATGAAGTGGCGGTGAGTGGTCTATGATGGTTGGTAACCCAAATGATGCTGCAGCCGGGGATGTTATTATACAATATGCTAAGGTATAAGCTCTTGTCAGATCTGGTTGTGTAGAACAAGCCAAGAGCAAAATTTCCACTCTTGGAGACGAGCTTGTTGTCGAGTGAGAATGGTTTTTCTTGTGTGAGTTAGTCTAACACTCATGGCTGCACGAGATCACACCAACAAGTCTTGAAGACTTGAACGGTGTTGCACGCGCTAAGAAAAATCATTACTACGAGTAGTCACAGCTGGAGTAGTGAGAGAGCTTGTGGAGTTGTGTCCTTCTTGGGAACATTTTATAAATTCGTCAATCTAAGTCACAACTTCACTAGAATCAAGCACATGGCCCAATTTGGTTCAAATTTCTGATGATTTTGTTTGGTTTTGTAATCCCTTTCAATCTACCTAATCTCAAGATTACCCGCGAACTTAACGTATTATATATTGTTCCAATGCCTCCTCTTTCACCATAGCTAACGAAACCAATATAGAAAATGTTTTATTGAGCTTGAGTGTGGGGAAGTCATGTCATAGTCATGGGACGAGAGACAAACCTCTTCTCAGGAGGTGGAAGACCGAGAACTCGAAGGACGTGACTCGCCTCATGGCTCCAAGAGGGAGAAGGAACATCACATGGATAGTGTCTGGTCATATAGGAGGAGGAACTACAAAAGGAATTCTTCGAGGAAGAGGAAGAGCAATAAGAATAGGAGGGAAACAAGACACTATAGCCAATCCCCATCGAATCTATCGAGCTCATCAGCACATTCGGATGCCTTGACTTCACCAATATCGATCCAACCATTGTGTATAGTTGTGGTTGTAAGAGCTCCACTATCCATGAGCCGTTGGATGGGTCGCAACAGATGAATCCCCAAGCATGCAAGGAGCACAGTATCAGAGCCTATATCGTTGTTGGACCCCCGGGGAAGAAATTCCTCGCGGATCTTGACTACATCCCCGTTGAACATCACACTCGTCAACCGGAGGTACACACTACTAGTTTTAGAACTGAATGTGAAATTTTGAGTGATCACATTAAGGAGATGGAGGATCATATTGCTGAGAATACCAAGTTGGCCTTAGCCACAAGCCTGAGGTTCATCGCGAATTTAGAGGAGATAGTTCGTGTGCACAAGATCCGCACAACAAAGTTGGAGAAGACCAATGAGCTTCTTCTCGGAAAACCTTCACGCATTCCTTTACTAGCACCTCCAATGAACCCCGATATCGATAAGAAATGAGACTAAATGAATCTCATCATCTTAGCATGTTAAGCTTGGGGAAATTTTGAGGCACTTTGTATCCCTTTGTTGCTTTACCTAGTTAATATTCGGTTAGAGTTTTAGTATTTTAGTTGAAATAAAAGTGGACAATCATGTTCTTTTGGGTTGAGGAAAGATTATTATTTCCAATGAGTACCAGATAGCATTAATGAATGTCTTGTTGTGCTATTATTGAAACCATATTAGATACTTGCCTAAAAATGTATGCTAATGTATTTTCACTTGATGATGAATATATGTCTTCCGTATCTCCATTCGATCAGATAGGGAAGGTTAGCAACTAAATGGAATAGATTACTTTTATTTCATTTGAACTCCTCTAAAGTATTGTAAGAGACTGGTACGAAAAGTTGTCTCACCATCTAAATAAAGTAATAAGAGCAAGTAGCTTCATCGCTGGAACTCTCTGTAACAAAATAAACCTTTCAATGATCCCAATCTTGGTAGGAAGTATGCTTAGCCTTCTAATCACACATACAAGAAATATCGATGTGACATGGGCATTTAAGCGTGCACCCTAAGCATAAAAAGGGAGAATAAAATTGATATTTTCGGAAAACAAATTGAGAGACCGGCGCTACTTGCTTGGCTGAAAGATGGGTGAATTATTGCTTGGAGTTGTAATGCGTTTGCTAATGACAAAATAGTAGAGGTGTGGAAGCCTTTATTATCATCTTTACTAAGTGAAAATATGATAGTGCCCGCCGTGCCCACGTATCTTGCATGAATTTTTGAATGTTGTGATGGACTCATACGTTTGCATTATCCACACCTAATAATAAAGATGACTTGTTTCTTAAGCTGCGGAATTTTCTTGGGGACGAGCAAACCTTTAAGCTTGGGGGCGTTGCTGAGTCCAAATTTTTGACAATTTTTACTGCTAATTTCATTCAATAGTTTAGGATTCTTCAGATTTTATCGCGTTTGCGAACCTTCTTTTGTATGTTTTCACCGGGATATCATGCATGGAGATTAATTTGAGTCTAAGGAAAGAAGGCCAATGTATGGTGATAAATCACGTTAATTAATGTGATAAAACTCTACCATAAAAGGTGGAACAAGTGAGAGAACAAACAACTCACGCGGGAGGGTCCAGAGCTAAAGATGTCGTTTGGTATGGGCGGGTGCGCTCATACCAAAGGTCGTACCATGTGGTGCCGCCTCCGCTTGGTCAAATACTTTGCCCCCATGCAATTGGATCGGAGAGGCGAGACAAAAAGGCATCCAGAAACACACCCAAATGAAGAACCCTAGCCTCCGGAAGGATTCCAGAGGGGGAATTGATCCAAGGACTCTATCGCCACATCACCAAATCGAGATGGCTTCATAACCATCCTTGATAGTCATCATCACCCCATCTCCATTATTTTGTAATACATTAGTAGGCATGGATCCACTTGTGTATTACTCCAACGCTATAACTATGTTCATCATGGTTTGCCCTACGATGGTTGTACTCTCGATGTGCGAGTAGTTTCCTGTTTCTCGGGGACATGAAGGAACCCTAGTATGTTTATGATCGTTTGATTTTAGGATTTGATATCCTCTTTATATGTTTATGTTAATAAGCTTCATGATGTTGGGTGAAGCCGACCATTCAACATATGCCTCTTTTGGACAGAAGGTTATTACGTTGGCATGAAGGTCGGTTGCGGAGGTTGGTTAGTGACATGGGCTATCTTCCTTCTTTCCGAATCATTGCAATAGCGGACAAACGGAGACTGCATTATCTGCATCCCATGGGGAGACCCTCTATTACGATAACCGGGGTGGGGATGAATGGTAGTGACGTATGTGATAACGGGCTTCTATATGTACGTATGTGTATGTAGTTGGCTCCGCTCACAAAGAGAAACATATAAGTCGTTGGCTTAGGAATCCGATATAGAATTATGCTTCGGCATCAGTCATGTTAGACTCATACTAGTGGGGAATCCCGACTCGCTCGGAACAGGGGAATCCCGACTCGCTCGGACACCTTACTCCTATAGATTTCAACAGCCATAACTCACTTCTCGGGTTATTTTATTTCTTCCACCGTTTACTTTGTTGTTCGCACGAATCACTCGATTATCAAAACTTTCGTTCCGCTTTGCCTGGGTCGCAACTAACTTGTAGGAACTACAATTTAAATCACTAGAAAAGGCAAAGACCAATTCCAATGCTCTCTCTGGGACCGATACTCTTACTTACAAAAAGGCTACAACTAACTCTATGCACTCGCAAGATATCAACGGTCGTAGCTCCATCCACACATCCTTGCCTCTGTGTGTCGTCATGTCGGCCCAATGGGAGGGGCTGCAACAGTGCATGGGTGCCCTGCCGCGGAGCTCCTTCCTCTGGGGAGCAGGTTGCGGCGACCTGCTTATTTAGAAGTGGAGGCGTGCGAGCGGGGGAAGGTCCACGGGCAGCAAGCATGTGCACAAATGAGGGAGCGCACAGAGTGGCAGTGCCAGGGAGGGGCCGCGTCGTCCATTGCTGGGTCGCTCCAGTCGTGCTACTTTGTGGACACGACGTCCAAGACGGGAGCACGACAAGCAGCGCGGGGCAAGCAACATCACCAGGGAGTGGCACCGAGCAGCAGCCTGTGCACGCAACCTATTCAACGGAATGCAAAAAAGTTGGAAAGAGAGGAGTGTAGATGCTGACTGGTGTGGCCCACAGTGCAGCTTAAGTATCTTATGTAACGGTCCAATAATTTGATGACATGTCATCACTTACGGGTGGGCCCCCATTTTAGTTCTAGTGTCAAACAGTGCTAAATGCGCGCTCAGTGTTATTTGCAAAAATCTTACTGTGAGCCAGTGTTTTTTTTTTTTGCAATATCAACAACAATTGCGGTGGTTTTGCTCCCGCTCCACTTAGTTCACACACAATTTTTTGATGTCCAGACGTCTAAAATATTTATGAAAACAATGATGTTAAATTGATTTGCGATGTTTTTCCACAAAATGCAGCTTCATATCACAGTAAGTAAAAAAATATAAGGATTAAATGGGACAGTGCATACCAGGAGACTCAGCAACGCGAAGGTATAGATTCTCGCCCATGTCAATGTACTTTGATGTATCCATAAGCTCTCCTATCCAAACCAAGCACCTTGTCGGGTCAGCCTCATCACCGGCACCTTTCAAGTTGGCATAAGCATATGCCGTACATGAGCAGTTGTTGCCGCACTCGGCGGTGCACTCATCGAAGCTTCTGTTCTTTACATGTAAGAACTTGTCAGGTACCTTCATCCAAGGCAAGGTTATGAAATGCCTTTGCTTGCCACAATCTAGTTCTTCTGTTCGCCGACAACCTCTTGAGAAGTTAAGACTGACAGGCTCGAACCCATCGAAGCATTCACATCTTGGGATGGTACTAGTGAGGTCGCAATAGCTGAATGGGCCACACGCGGCGTAGAGCTCACATGCAGCTCTGGGCCTCTCAAAAAGGACTGCCCACGATGATAAGTGGTTGTTCCAGCTTAGACACTTGAGCATGCCTGTGTATTCAAGCGTCAAACGTGTGAACGGTAAACCATCAGAGACAGTGAACAAAAGATATGATTCGTCTCCCTGGTTGATGACTGTTTCGGTCACGAAGGAGCTGGCGTTGCTTAGGTATGTGCCACCGGGCACCGACACACCACTCAACACATCGCTGCGAAGATATGGCATGGTCCCATGCAAAATTAGCCTTTGAAGTGTCGGCGAGCTAGGGTCAGCGCCGCCTGTGAAGTCCCCAGAGGAAGGGTCATCCGAACCCTTCCAAGCAACGAGCCCCCGGATGGCTCGTGCCTTGTACCTCAATAACTCTCTCATTGTTGGAAGTATTGTGTCAGTCGGGTGATCAAAGCTCTGCCATATGTCCGCGGTGTTTGGCAACCGGAGGACAAAGTTCCCCGAGTTGAGTAGCAAAGCGTAAGCTCCGGCCCCTCCCGGGGCGATACTGCTTGTAGCCCTCCAAATATGGCGGCCTTTGGAGTCGGACACCACAAGATCAGAATTGGTGGTGATGGAGAGCATCGCAGATGAAGTGGTGTTGATTGGGTTGTCTCGGTTGGCTACCCACACGACGGTGCGTGGCCCAGGAATGCCGTGGTACCATATGCCAAGGTAAAAACTCTTGTTGGAGCTGGTTGTGGAGAAGAAGCCGAGAGCAAAGTTCCCGCTCTCCGAGATGAGTGTGTCGCCGTGGGTGAGTGGCTTTGCCCGTGTGAGCTGATGGTCTGATTTGCAGAACGAGCTCAAAAATAGGAGGAAGAAGATGGGAATATAGTGCACAGTCATTGTGCTGTCTCCTTACACCTTTTTTGTGTCGAGGGAAAAAAATAGCACGCTGATATAGCTGAGGTTCCGCTGCAGTGAGTCGATAGGAATTTTCTGTGCGTCCAACTGAAACTCTACTCTCATTAGTGAGTGGAGAGTGTCAAAGTCTGAAATTAATGTCCCGGGAAACAAAGTCTTCTGAAATTAATGAGACAAGTGATGGATGGATAAAGACTTGTGTGGCCATCGGCATTCCGAAATGTATTAAAAATGTATTAATAAAGTATTAAAATGGACACTGGCATGGGTACTAATCAACGACACGATTGTAGTAGAGGAACGTGGTCGCTTCTCTTCCTAAACACACACACACATTCAACACATATGTGTCTGCTTTCCAATTTCAAAGCTTTGCACAGACTACGCCTTCTCCACTCCCCTTCACAGCGTGCACCGTGAAGTGGAGCAGTAAGCCTTCAGAACCCCGCCTCTTGCGATATCGGAGAGGGGTGATCAGGTTTTGAAAAGCACTCTTGCGCGACTGCTGGGTTCTTCTCCATCGTAGCTGAGCACCTTTTTCTTTTCTTCCCTGACGTTGACGACCTCCTCCACAACATGTCGGTCATTGATGGTGGTGCTCCCGGGAACACATCTACTTCCTCAACACCATATGTTTTCTTATCCCTTCTGATAGGGATTAGTTATGGACTTTTCGTACCAGGAATTGATCTAGACATGACATTTTTATTGTACATACCTAATTACATGTCTAGTAATTTTGTGCGCTGGATCATCATGTTTAATCTGTTTAACATGATTTATCTTGTTTTCTTTATAAATTTATAGGAAAAAATTCTCAAATAATCAAGCAAAAATTCAGAAAATTACAGTCTTTTACTGTTTTTTCAGTTTAATAAATGTTTAATCAGCTGTGCGTAAACCCTGGTTTCTAAAACCTGTGACTGGAGTTTCTTAACTTGGGAACATTTCACCCCAATCAGCATATGACAACAAAAGGATACACCTTTTACGGTCAAATAAAATACGAAGAAAACATCATGCACGTAAATGATAGATGTAAGTATGTGCTTGTAAAATCTAAAACTTAAACATGACCGTATTCGGCCAGGACAAAATGACAAGTAACTAATGAACGGTGTATATATGTTACAGCACGGATCTAATAATCATGCTTAACTTTCAAAAATTATATGCATATACTACTTATATTCACTATATAGTGCACAGCCATTGGGAAGCGGTGTTTCTGCTCACGAGCACACATGAGCTCGGTATCTGGGCGGTTGAATTGGCTCTGGAGATGCGGTGCATTTACGACATGAGCCAGATACGCGAGCGCTAGAAAAAGGAGTGGGAGGCGGAAATACAAATGAGCTGTGGGCCAGGGAAGACGGAGGAGACGCGGTGTTCGACGGCAGCTGGCCGAGCCGTGACTCAGGACGGCGTTCCTCTTCCTGATCCGTGGATCAGAAAAGTTACTTTCCGTTATCTGCATCGACGGAATGGCTGGTAAGTGGTGGGGTTGGTGTGGTACAGTCGTCTTCTACCTCACCCTTCCGGATTTTGCAAGTAGAGAGAGGGCGCCGAGGCTGTGGAGAAGCGATTCAATCAGGGGGGCAAGATCTGCCGGTGGGCATGGAGTTCCTTATGCAACCGATTAAAAGTGCAGACATATGTGATTGACTGCTAATAATCAGAATACAGGCTAGGATGAATAGTAGCCAAGTGTGACGAATGAGGGATTTAGTTAGGGGCAAACTGGAAATTGAAAGATTTTTTTCAGCAACATTGGTAGTGACTGTCAAAAGGGGATTTGTCTGTCAAAATTTGCAGCATTGGTCTGAAAGCGTGGAGATAAGAGTGAGTTTATTTCAGTTCCAAGTGCAATTTGGCGAGGAAATTGTGAGCAAATTCCAAACTTTGATTGTAACAAAAACTAGATGAATATGAAAGAGATCTAAGGGTTTCATCATCTTTACATTTTCTCCGTGGAATGGGGATATGTGGCGTTGTACTCACATCAGCAGTTGCATGCTGATTGCAGGGTTAGAGTAGGTCCTTCGTCAGCAGCATGAATACCATATCCTAACCATGGTATACATCGTTGTAGGAGTTTTTTGGGTCGATGGTGAATGTTCCCTTCACAAATGGGGCACGGAAGAATCTATGTGGGAAAATTAGCCATGAGCAAAGCAGAGGACGATGTACGGAAGACGATGGAGGTTTTCGCGGATGTCGGTTCAAAATATACACACTTCACCTATCACTATGTTAACAAGGAGCATGATGTTCTTCCTCGCATCAACCTCTTTGACCAGGACAGTCTGTTAGAAGAATGATCAATATGGCTGCTGGCATCGGCAAGGATGTTACATCATACTCAACTGCAAGGTATGGTTGTAAAAATATTGATAATCCAACTATTACTTTTATCTGAAGCCTTACATAATTCCATGCTACAGTTACACGATACTTTTATCTGAAGCCTTAGACAACCGCGAGACGAGCTCACAGGGCGAAAGTATATCTTCTGCTCTGGTTTCCAGACTAACCCATGCAACAGTGGTGTTGTTCCATACCGACCTGAAGCAAGTGTCTGTGAATTTTGATACAATTCTTCAGTTCTGCATCCGGTCAAGAACTATCCAGGGTAGTTACTCCACACATGTACTAAAATACATCTGCATTTAAACATAACGTGTTGCTAATACTTATTCATATGCTTTTGTAGGAATTCCCTTGTCCACAAAGTTCGTAGGTTTATACGAATATCAGGTGTTGCTCCAAAGGAACAGCTAGCCGGGAACACCCTTATGGATCATGAGTTGATGCCCATAATCCTATGCTGCTACTCCCATATTGACATGGAATCAGACCCAGAACCCCCTACATCTCATCAAGGTACCCAATTGAACCTGAATTCTCGGTGAGGGAGCACCTACATAATATGGCATTGTGAGTCTGTACTCATCAGCCTGATGATAGGACACGGTGTTTCTGATTGCGAGCACACCTGTACTCTTTATCTGGGCGGTTGAGGTGCATATTGGGATGTGGTGCATTAAATGCTGGCATTAGATAGAAGTGCTTCCGTAAATAAGGAAATGAAAGAATACACCTGGGTTGTGAGCCAGGATGTAAATGGAGGAGACGACGTCGGCGAAGGGTTGCAGAATTAGTCAAGTTAAAGCATGTAGGGTTGTGGAATTAGTCAAACCAAATTGGAAATCTGACAATGAGTGTGAGTGTTCTTACCCTGAACCCATCTTAAAGGACTTAATTTTGTTTGGAAAGATACTAACAGCCAGCAGTTCAGAGAATATATTCACTAATTCAGAAATATCACTGTTGTTGCCTCTGCTTTATTTTTATTTTATTGCGGTAGACAACCAAATTGGAAATCAACCCATTAGCGTGAGTGTTTTTCTTATACTGAACCCATCTTAAGGGACTTAATTTTGTTTGTAAAGACGCCAACACTCAGCAGTTCGTAGAATATATTCACTTATTCAGAAATTTCATTGATGCAACTGCTTTATTTGGGGAGATACAAATTCAGTTGAAGGATCTGATATCATACACAGTAGTGATAAACTTTCGTTGGCTGTCCCAGGATCACAGAATACCACAACACCAACACCAACATATAAACTCCTGCTGGAGAATTTTTTGGTGACAATGCTCGAGTAATTACTAATTAGGAATGGTCGAATAGATCAACCGATTTTCATGTTTGGTACAAGATTTTAACATGGTGTTTTGTGGAATAGAACTGTGTGTTTAAATACAACAAATAGAGTATCTTGAATTATCAATGTGTGATTTTAGTGCAAAGAGGTGACATTCAGCCTTTCCCTACATTTCTGTAAGAGGCTGTTTCCAGGACTTGAACCCGTGACCTCATGGTCACAAGGCAGTAGCTTTACCACTGCGCCAAGGCTCCCCTTCTGACATTCTGTGTTTAATGTGACCTGAAAATGTGCCAATCAAACATGGATTACTAAATAGTTGGACAAATTAGTTGCTTAAATTTCCTTTAATTATTCTTTTTCTTTCTGAAGAGCTCAGTAACACTTGCTACAAGACCATCAGTTCCTATCAAAGTGGCACATGGTGTGATGGGAGATCCTATATATGACATATACATATTGAGTACATTTTCGAGAACCATGCCAGCTTACTTAGCAAGGTCCGAAAATAAGATAATGTTTCAAAGTAAGTTAACACCAGGCGAACAAATTAAATATTATTATAGAACTCTGACCAATTTTTTTTCTCTCTTAATGAGTGAAAGGAATGAATATTATCTAGCTAGCACAATGTTACCATAGCAGGAGGCACTTGCTGAGTCAGAGCACTATGATTGTATAGGGGAGGCCCAACTGGCAACGGGCAACGGGATGAGACGTCATGGTTGCACAAAAAGAAGTCCAGGAGGAAGGACAGCCGCTGCAATGACGGCAGAGAAGCAGCGATAAGGAAAGGAGTTGGGCCACAAGCATGATAGATCGTCAGACGAGTGGTAGTGTCCTGCGACTAGTGCACAGTTCCGGAAGAGGTGGTGAAAAGGGAAAGAGAGGGAGGAATTTATCTTTCTGGATCCATGTGAGAGGCACTGGAGACCGGGATGGTAATTCAAAACAATTGAAACCGGAACACAAATTAGCGAGGACAATTTATTCAGTTTTCAGTAAACTAATCTACTAAAATGATTAAAATCTATCACCATAATCAAGTACTGAAACTATGTTTGCTGCCTTTGGTCAGTTCAAAAACTTATTCAGCACTTCAGGTAAATGGCCATTTACTTTGACGTGATAAAGAGATATAAACACAATTATGATGTTCAGCAATTATACTCTCAACAGGTTGAGTTTGATTATTGTGAGTAGGTTGGTTATTGTTCGATTTGAAGGGGACCATTCGCATCTATACATCCTGATTACGGTGCTTGAGGAGAAAATAGTTCCATAACAGCAGAGGGTAAAATACTACTTGCA